GCTTTTTATAAGGCAGATGGCAAAACGATGTCATCTGAAGAACCATTATAGTTTGGAGGTTTTCAGAGCAACTGTGAAGCTAAAATTAATCCTAGCTCAACTTGTAAGAGGGCAATTAAAGTAAAATTATCTCAGCCAACTCCAGCAGGAACTGCAAGTGTACCTAAAAAGCAGCAAACAATTTGGTTTTGAAATCTGGCTTTACAGAAAAAAGGCACGTACTTCAAGAATTAGCTAAATGGCCATGAAAGTATTCTTGATTTATCCTTCAAAACCCAAGCGCAGGTTGCATGACATCTCGTCCCTATTGCTCTCTCACCTTTTAAAAGGGGCTGTGTTAAAACAAGATGATATGGCACCAAGCAGCACCCTTTTACAGAGAAGGTGTCACCTTATGCACTTGAAATCTGATGCTGCACCCCAGCTTGTTTGGATCTGTGGATGTGAGTGTGCGTACATGTCTCCTCAATATATGCTGTGCCTTAAGCTTAAGTAACCTCATCAGCTTTGTGCTCTCTATATAACCTCACATGCAAGCATTTACACTGATAGCTATGTTAAATATAAGTGTTAGTTACAGAATAAATACACGAGAGGCATGTATGGAATTATGAAGTTTCTGGATGCATTTTGTTAATAAAAGTGTAAATACTTCACAAAAAATTTACGCTAACAAGAGATTGTAATGCCAAACGTGAATAGTTTAATCAAACATCAAATGGATAAAGTACCTTATATTTAAATGTTGAGCCAATTTCTGTCCTGATGTAGGCCTGCTGTAACTCACAGTCCAGTTTTACATGGTATTTCTGACTAACTACACAGATTTTTGGGCAACATGAAGAACCCTTCTTCAAACACATCATCCTCCATCAGAATCTGACTTTAAAGCAAAATGACCCCGCTAATCACAACTGTCATCATAACCCCCACAAACGATATTTACTTAACCACTACACAGCAGGTGGGATTAAAAACTGCATTCCCAATGAATTCCTGAATTAGCACATCTGCATTATAGAACAAAACCAAAAAATTACAATACATTCCACATGTTTTACTACTGTTCCTTTTTCTCAGAAATATATGTTACAATATTTTATATACAGTGAACAATCCACTGCCAGATTTAATCTTTAAAAATATATAGAAAAATGCTTTTGGCAAGTAGGAAGGCAGAACATACAGAAAATTCACAGCTCAGATGTTTCTAAGGAGAAAGGCTTTAGCACAAAGCATGCCACTTACTTTCCATCTGTGTCTGATGCAGCTGCATAGTGCAGAGGTGTACAACCCCGCTCATCAAGGTCATTCACACTAGCTCCAGATCCCACAAGGGCAAACAGGCACTGATAATTACAATTGGCAGCAGCATAATGGAGTGGAGTTCTTTAGTACACATTTAAATAAAAAGTACAATGGTAAATAACAGCAAAAAATATTAGAGAGACAGAAAAAGCAAAAATAAAATGAAACTTAAATCCTCCTTACATTTGTAACAAGTATATGTGGTGAAGAACGTGTCATTACAATATTAAAAAATGGACCCATTTTCTAGCTGCCTAACTATTTTTAGTTACATAATTTCAAGCCACATGGAAAATCATGAACAAACCTAAGAACTGCACAACAACTAAACAAGGTCAAAATAAACTAAAACAATTAACAAGTAGCTGTTTTAGACAAACAGATCAGAATTCTGTCTAAAAGAGGCAAGCATTATTTATGTTTAACTATATTACCATACCAGGGGTATTGTTAAAGAAAACTTAAAAAAAAAAAAAATATACCTTGTCTTCTTACAACAAAACCATGAAATATTAGTACTGATGTATAAGCTCAGAGGAAACTTGTTCCAGCTTCAAATACTTTAACAATTCTCTAAATAATCCAGTTAAGACAAAATTCCAAAAGCACCAGGATGACTCAGAATTCCATTTTCTATTTTTAAAGAGAGATTGCTACCACAAATGTCTCAATTTTGAGGAGACAGGCACTGCAAAGTGTGCTCTGTCTTCCCTCTTCCTTTAAATTACTTTTTCCCATTTCCCCCCATTTTTAACTATTTTTGTCTTTTCTCTCTCCCAAAATAATTGCTCTATATGACATGCATGTTAAACCAAAAAACAAACCAACAAACCCACTACTTTCAATGACAAAAGTTCTGAGAAAGAGTTGTTCCTTTCTCAGGAAAGAACGGAAGTAGAATTTAAAGCAAAATACTTTGGATCCATAACATTCTCCTCAAGTCCTACTCCTGCCGTTCACATCCTGGAAAATCATATTTTCCATGATGTGATGTGAGATTTCACGCAAGTACTGATCATGCCATCTAAATTTAAATAATCCTATACTAAAAATAGAAATTAATGTGATTCCAAGAAAAGTTCAGAGCATGAACAAGGAAACAGAGAGGGATGGATATAATGAAAGAACGGTGGGGCAATTATAATAAAAGAATGGATTTTTTTTTAATACAAAAGCTTAGAAATAGCAACAGATTCACAGGGTTGACTAACACGTTACTTGGAAAACATCAGTAACATCCTTGCATGAGAGCAATTGAGACCTCATTAGATCCGTGTTATAAGCAAAAAAGGCTCATAAAAATTACAGCTGAACACAAGAGCTCAGTTTTTATAAACAAGCCTAAACACCTACTAAACAACACGCAATGAAAAAACATGTTTGTACCTTTTGGTAACGTATGGTGAAAGCAGAGTTTATTAGACATGTTGTGTCTTAAAAACCATTTAAACTGAATCACACAGACTTGCCGTACAGCAACACTGTTAACAGACCTTCACAATATACAAATCTGGAGTGTCTTACCTCCCAAATCTGTCCTTTTTGTTGAAGTCTGCACCAGTATTTAGCAGAAGATTGAGGCACTCCAAATTCCTAGCAAATCAATGCAATATTATTTGTGATTGCTAATTCTATTTCTCTAATGCTGGCCTCTGAAAATATCAAAACTGCTACACAAACATCTCACATGTTATTCTTAATGGAACTGAACTATCACATGAAAATTTTGATAAATAGTTTTTTGTATGCAAAGTAGATTCCATAATTGCAGGACCAAATCAGGAAAGAATAAGAATTATTTCAAGTCTCTCTCTATAGATTTTGTTGATGTCAAACGGCATGCATAAAGCACAAACATTAATGTAACTGAATAGGAATTTCAATCTTTAAAGCAAACAAACAATAACACCTGCATGTCACATGCTTTTGGCCACCAGGATCCCAGGATAGAGGCAAGTTTTTAATGTATCTTTTTTAAGGCCAAATATAAGCTGCAACATAAATCTTTTACTTTTTAGTGTAATTCATTTTCACTACAATATGATCATCATAACAGATGTACAATAGTGCTTATTTTTTAAACACTATCTTAGTAACTTTCCTAAACTGGAGATGAATGAGGGAATGTGTCACAAATTATGTGGCTTTATATGAAAAGCTAGCACTTTAACTGTAATCACTGGCAACAAGGATGTATCTATCAAGTATCTTTTGACTTAAAATGATTACTTAACAGTATTACTTAAACAACATTGAAACAGAAAAATGAAAATATCAATATCATGGAGTTCTTGTGTCCCACAAAGTGTATCATGAAATTTATTACCCAATTCTTCCAGGCAATTTTGAGTAGCTGCTATAGAAAACCTACAATACAATAACAATAATCAATATGGGTCACAACTCGAGTGATGAGCAAGTAGTTCTGACTACTTCATCCACCTACACTCTGGAATATAATGATGCCTTTTAATTTAGTTCGATTGATCTTTCATTTATGGATTTGGTAAAAACATATTTCTCAAAGTTGCTGTTCTCCACCTCACGTCCTACAGTGTTCTTAGCTGCGCATGCCATCTTTGAATGCTGTAAATTCTAAAAATTACATCATCATCCATGGAGATTTGAAAATAAAATTCAGTTCATAGCCAAGCACAACCTAAGGTAAGGCTGATGATTCTAGGACACTGTACTCCAGTAATTACTTACTGAGCTGTATATTTAATTTATTTTTATTGTTTGCAGATAGAATCCATCTTGAAATTATTTTCATGTTTACATAAATTCCAAGGGGAGAGGGCAGGAAAAGCAGAGAGAGGAACTAATAAAAAAAGAACGGGAATGATCAACAATTCCAAAAAGAACACTAAATATGAAAGCACGAATACTTTTTACATACCCTCCAGCTGCAGCTGCGTGAAGACAAGTCCTGCCAAAGTCATCTGGTGTGTCAATGTCAAACCCTACAATTCAAATTATTTTGTAAAATCATTATGTAACATCACCTTTCAGAAAACTGTTCTCATCTACTCTTTAGAGACACGCTTGCTAAGCAAACTTAAGCACTGAAAATTTACTTCATTTGAAACACATCCTTGCTATTCACAATGTTTTGAAAAACAGGCATTCAAGTAAAACTGAACGATACAGTAAAAGACAACTGGCTGCAATGAGGCAAGAGACTATACTCTTTCTTATCCTATTTGCCTGCTAATATTTAGATGTACTAAATATAAAATATAAGTCAGTAATAGAAACATTTAAGAATGTGCCTTTTTTTTTTTTTTAATAAAAAGGGGGATGTAAGCATTACTAAATACAGAAACTTCTTAAATTTCATCTTGAGTTTAGCTCTAGTCCCAGAGAAAAAACTTTGTTAAGCTGGAATGAAGGCTGGAAATAACAATTACTTAGAGAGGAACCCTTCAGCGAACAATGTAGTTTTCCCAAAATGTGCAAACTATGGAACTGCAAATTTGAGATCACAAACTTTAACTGTGCAATTCTATATCTAACGATTTAATTTTGACAGGAAGATTACTATTTAAATCAGGTTTCAAAGGTACATTTTCGGTTTGAGAAAAGTCCTATATTCTCCAAAAAGTCTTGCTCTTGTGTAACAAAACTTACTTCATTACACATCCAGTTTTGGTATTTTTGTCTGGGAATGCCTTTTTTTTTTAAATGCCCCATTCTTTTTAAGACTTGTTCAACAACGACATATAGTGAACAACATAGAATGTGTTATTCAAGACTCTTCCTACTCCATATCCCCCCAAAAAAAGCTTTTGTACACGCCACTACGTCCTCCTCTGTTTCAACAGGCAGTGATACACAGCAAACAATTTGACAGTTTACCAATCTAATGGAAAAGTAGTCCTCTACAGCTCCTTTCCCCATCCCTAGGCTGCCTGTCTTAAATGCCACTCAGTCCTGGGGCAGAACAGACTGGTTTTCTTTAAGGTCTGCACATGAATATTAATGAATTTATAAATCAGAGATTCTGAATTTATATAAATGAGACTTTTCCTGACGAAAAGGGCACAGAGTCTGTAGATAACAATCCCCACAACAAAACCATATACTAAGATGTTAGCAGTATTTCCAGTCTGAAGGCAGAACATACTCTTAAAAGTCCTTCTCTGCCCCACGCTACATTTACATCCAAGTTTGCTCAACTCATGTAAAAGTCACAGAAACCACTTGCAGTCTTCTGCAGGGACTCCTTTGCCACAGTGAACCTCCGGTAAGGGCACCCCCAGCACAGCACCATGCGCAGAAAGGAGAAAGAGCCAGCATATCCCTCATTCTGAATGCATCCGACTGAAGTATAATCAACTACAGGAGAGTTCTTCCCTGCAGTGAATCCTTGCAAGCTTGTCCATGCCAGCACAGTGAAATAAAAAGCCTTACCGCTGGTACTCTCAGCTATACTGCTTCAGTTCTTCTCCCAGGCTTCCCCAACAGACAAAGCTAGGGAAGCAATTTCTTACTCTTCCTTCTCCCACAACCTTCTGTCCCCACTTTCCTTTTTCAAAAACGTAAATGCCTTCAGATTAATGTAGAACCATTTAAATTTATTCTTCTGTTCCTGAAGCTTCCACAGTCCTTCAGACAAATCCACTTTCTCAGTACTGCACTGTTTCAAAGAGCTCAGAATTCACACCAGAGCAGACTCTGGACGCCAAGGGAAATAGTAACCTTACAACCCTCCCCAACTTCAGGGAGGAATCAGTGACAGCAACATAGAGTTTGGGTTGTATTAATTAACAGTAAACCACCAACGCAAGAGTTTCTTAATGTGGTGGTCCACAGAGTTTTCAGAGCTATTAGGTGCCCACTGTGGGAACAGACAGGAATAGACTGATCGGTAGGAAGCTAAAGGCATCACGGAAGGGAAACGGAGGATGCTCGATGAAGTAATTTAAGAGAACATTCATCTTTCTCCCTGAAGCTGCATTATGGTCTGAACCAGTCATTTCACCTCTCTATGAGCAACTTAAAATGCACAAACACAACATTTAAAAAGTTGTACTTCAATTTGAATGACATTTTTTTAAAAACAAACATTACTCCTCTAAAAGTTTGTGTTCACTTTAGCTATGGTCTGTCCGGTTAAAAAAAAGAAGAAAAAAACCAAACAGCAAAACACTAGCTCCAAGCTACCAGTAAACTACAAAGATTTTTATGTATTACTAAATTAAGACTTAATTAAAAGCTATGCTATGGAATGAAAAACAAAACACAAAGTAGCCATAAGATTCTGAAAGAGTATCCTACCTGATGAGAGGAGTTTTCTGCAGCAGTCTGAATATCCACTTAATGCTGCCAAATGGAGAGGAAACATCCCATGTATACCCCGCCTAAGATACACCATAATCAGGTATCACAGCTTCATTACAAATGAAATAACACAAGCATGATTGTGTGCCAAAGTGCACGGTGGGTTCAGCAAACCACCCAATTAGAATACTGAGCCTTAGGAAACGTTCACCTCTTAGATGCTTTCCTACGCTTTCTAGTAGGATGCACTGATGCAGTGCAACAGCATGTTAAAACCTTCAGAGCTTTTACTTCAGATACATCAGAGGAAAATTTGTTTCTCTTTGTACACATTGGGATGCACTATGTGGCCACTTAAAAGCACAGTACAGGATAATACACAAACGTTCCCTGTTTCAGGTTGAAGACGATGTTAAAAAAATCATGCTAGTCTCGTTAGTCTAATAAATACACTTCCAAATCATGTCAGCTTGCATTCATGTCAGTAAAGTTACCTACTTTGCAGTGTCAGCACCACTCGTAATCAGAGTGTTGATTAACAGCTCGTGGCCATATCTAGCTGCTATGTGCAGAGGAGTATTTCCATTCTTATCTTCACAGTCTATTTCAGCTCCTATAATAAAAAATAATTACTGAGTAAGAATATATGTAGGCATACAGATACTTCAGAAGGAGAGCACTGATGGCAATTTGAGTAACACTAATAATTGTTCATGAACAACTACTTTGGATTTTAAATCTATACAGCTTTCAGTGATATTTAGTATTAATAATAAGCAAAACCAGGAGAAGCATTTCATTATGTAACCACACGGGACAAAACTTGTGCAACCTGGGTTATGGAAGAGAATTGAATAGATTTTTCTGTGTTCTGAAAAATAAACGGTTCTTCAAGGTACCTTATCAAGCTTTATAAGGGACAGGCCAGGCTCCACCATTAACTGACCACTGGATACAAAAGATAATTCACTACATTGTTATCAGTGCAAGAAGAGGTAAACAGTCATAATACTGGAAAGCTGATGACAAAACTACTCCCTTCCCCTTTTTACCATTTTGAATGATGGTTTGAGATCTTGAGAATCTACCATGGATCGCTGTCATGTGCAAAGGTGTTTTCCCATCTTTACTCTGGTAGAGAAACAAACAAACAAAACCAACACAAAACAGTGTTTACTTATGGCCAGTAATAGTAATCCATCAGAACTGACAGAAAGAAAGAAAAAGGACATTCTTGTACTTTCTTCTCTCCCTCCTTTAAATTGTTTCTGTGCACTTCTGCAATTCAGAAGCTGGCAGTGACAAGTGAGCATGACGTGGCAAGCTTTTCAGGAGAGCTGCCCTTCATCACTCCTCCCGCTGTGAGCGACAACTCGGTGATGCCCACTCACTCACAGTTATGCCTTTAGTATAATCACTCTCAAGAGGATGATGACAGTGTACAACTCAAGCAACAAGCCTGTGTCCAACTCTCCCCCCCCCGAGCCTAAAACAAAACAAAGCTTCTTTAAGTTTGTTTCTTGAAAGAAAATAGCTGTATTTACTGTAAAGGTTTACACATTCTATTAGAAGACAACACATTACAAAGCTCATGTGTTTAATGGAAATTTCTGCAAAGTGATATTTTAAATATACGACAAGTAATCCAAGGGTAGAACTTTTCAACCACAGTAAGTACTATAGATTTGACACACATATCAAATGTGCACTTAGTCAACTTCCCCAAGCAATCCCTATGCTCTGCTTTTCTTTCAAAGAGGATTTTATTCTAATGTCTACCTTTCACCTTTCTTCCCCATGGTTTTGTTCTACTCTCTTTATCCAACCATTAATATTTTCTGTGTCTGGTTATTTTCCTCCTTTAGAACAAGCATTACACATCTGGTGTCTCTTTCACCTTCTTTAAGCTGAAGGATCAATTTATTTAAAGAAAAATGAGCTCATAAAATAAGCTCAGCTGGAGCGAGTGACCAGAAGCTGCTCTGGTAGCTAAGATTCTAAACTTTAAAAGGGGAAACTTGGAGAAAGTAAGGAAGTAAGTTAGTGAAGTAACAGACAGAAGAATTTAAGGGCTCAGATAAAACATTTGTACCTCAAAGGAAGGTAGCTGAAGGATCAATTTATTTAAAGAAAAATGAGCTCATAAAATAAGCTCAGCTGGAGCGAGTGACCAGAAGCTGCTCTGGTAGCTAAGATTCTAAACTTTAAAAGGGGAAACTTGGAGAAAGTAAGGAAGTAAGTTAGTGAAGTAACAGACAGAAGAATTTAAGGGCTCAGATAAAACATTTGTACCTCAAAGGAAGGTGAACAGAGTAAGAAGATGAAGCAGAAAAAAAGCAGATCCAAGTCTTACTGAGCACATTAGTAAAGTACCTGACAGGGGCATAAGAATAACCCAAGGTGACAGTGTTAGAACTAAGGAGCATGGTGGTCAAGTGAGAAACCTCACAAGACAACTCGAGTAAGAGCTTGCACAATAAGCTACACAATCATTTTTCAGTTGTAATTGAAAATCCACAGTACGGTCAATAATGGATTTTTAGATTTACTCTGCTCAAATTTACTTAGAAATGCAGTTAGAGTTCTAAGACAATATATTTGATTATCCACAGTGCCTCTCTCCAGTCTAACAGTCTCTGGTTCCTTTGCAACCCACAACTGTCTATCAACATACAAACACAGAACAGGCATAGAATTAAATGAAGGTGATGATTTCTATGTTGAAGCTGAACTTCTAGGCACAGGACTGTCTTCAGAATTCCCCTCTCAGACACTGTCACTAGGGAAGGATATCCAGGATCAGAACCAGTAGCCAGAGTTCTCTGAACAAGGAAACAGAGTTCTTTAAACAAGGCTCTATTTATTGAGCAAAGTATAATTTCCTGAGATGCCAGCAGGTTACTGCACAAGAAAAAAAGGTATCTTCAAAACTTCTGCTTCAATTTCCTTTTCTGATGCCTTTAAGTCAAGGTCTTCTATCTAAATATTAAGTTAGCTACAGCTGGTTAATTTTACAAGATCACACAGGATCAGAGCACATGACAGACTAGCTCCTGGCTAACGGTAGCTTTTGTTGTCTTCGCTGAAACTCAATTAAGTGTGGTAACAGGAAAGGAATCACCCAAATCTCCTCTACCACTAGAGAAAACATACTCACAAAAGACTTGAGTATACAAAATTTACTAAGAACAGAAATTGCTATTAGACAGAATTAACACACAGCACCAGGCGTTCTATCAAGTGATTGCTCAGGGATCAACTGTACTGAGGGTCAGAGGAAGCGTGGGTCTATTGTGCCACAGCATTCCTCCAACTGAAATCTCCCTCGAGCAACAACTCTCACATTCTAGCATCAGCCCTAGAAGTAAAAACACTTGTTCTATTTGGGTCACTGAATTTTCAAGCAGCAAGGGAGCCCACAAAACAATTAATACCGTCCCACTCTGTACTCATTTCAACGTGTTCTTCCATGCATGGAAATCCTGAATAGCAAGGAGAGAGTGCTGCAGTAACGAGCAATACTTAACAGGAGCCTCTGTTCTGCAGTACTGTATGGACACCGACAAGGCTACAAAACCAAGTATGGCATTATGTCCTCTGCCTAGAGATGATAATAAGCATATAACATTTCTACTGTTCCATTATCTTCTGTGAGATACTCCCTTCTGGAGATGAGGCCAGCACCCACAGATATGCACAAGCACTTGCCCCCTACCTGCCATCAATAAGAGCGTTTCTTTCTCCTTACCTCTCCCCACTAGGCCGTCCCCAGCAGAAAGTGCTCTCATAGTACTGCCTAGTCTGCACCTGGATTATACCCATCCATACCCACCCTGTCACCTCTCAAATCAGCCAATAGTCACACACGGGAGGGAGCTACTCAATCGGATTACACAAGCAATATAATTATGATGAAAAATAAATTCTGTAACAATTGTAGGAACCACTCTGAATTTTAGTCTCAGTATTTGGAAACAGAACAGGCTTGGTTTCAATAAATACTTAGTAAGAACACTCTACAAACCATACTTTAGCTACACAACACATTCTCATTCAACTTCCCTCTGCTATTTTTTAGGGATTGTTCTTCTGATTAAATTCAAGATTTATCCTTACAGGCCTTTCCAAGGAAGTAGAAGCTGACTTGGAAATTATTTTCTTTTTGCCTCAATTCTTGCACTTTTCAACAGTGCAAGTGCTTAAGATTTCATAAACAAATTAAGGCTCTTCACACCCTCAGATGCAAATTCACAGGCCAAATTCACTCATACTGGTATAAATCCACAGAAATGCTATTAACAGAATTACAATGGAGACACATGGTGGTATGGAAACAGGGGATAAATGCCGTTTTCAAGCTATAATTGATTTAAATCCCAATACAACCCTACTTGCTTAATTTTGCACTAAAGAGTTTTGACATTTACTAAATCAACACATTTAATTACAGTCAACCTACAGCTAAAGCTACTAACCCTTTCCATTGCAAAGCCATTTTCTTCTGAAGCAGGGAAACTTCAGTAGCCAAAGCTTTACTAAGCTCTTAAGACTTCAGCACAAATCCTCAGCTCTCCGATATGCTTCAGGCTGCATTTCCCAGCTCCACCACTATCACATTTCAGAAAAAATGATTCTGTCACCTCAGAGTAAGCTTAAGAGAACACGTGGGTTTATCCATGCAAAATCATCTAAGGAGTGGGGTTTTTTTAAGTTACAGAAAGCGACAAATGTGCACTCCGGATCCCATAACTTAAAACTGAATGGGAAGGAAGAAAATAATACATCTCTCCGATGTTAAAGCATTTTCTGTCACCTCCGAACTACAGTTCACCCACATTATAAACTTCAAAGAACTCAGGCACTTTACCAGTCACTTTGAAGGTATTAGCCATGCTTTGCACAATTTCTAAGGCTACTTAGTGTTACAACTGAATACATGCAGTCAGTATCTACAGTGCATACCATATGTAAACCAAAGATTCTCATTTTAAGTTCAAACATAAAGATTACTATAATATTTAACAATGTTTAATTATCCTTATAGAATGTTGGAAGCTTTTCATTTTCGTTCCTAAGCTAGAATTAAGGTGTGTTTGAAAACAAAGAGCCCAAAACACCCAACCACCATTACTTGCTGCACTGCGTCAGAAATACGCACATAGTCCTGAACCCAGCATATAGGAAAACACCAATTCTTTGCTTGGTAATATTCACGTTTCTCTTTTGTTCTTATTTCTTTAAGTAACATGAACATAACCACTAGTATATTTAACACTGTGGGATTATTTTCATGATAGAACATACATCACTGAGAAATGATGTTTCAAGAATGCAGGACAGAAGTCAGCCCTATAAAGCTTAAACCTTCAGTCATACCCTGTCTGAGACGTTATGCAGAGCATAACACTGGCAACAAAGCCAGATAGACTGTGACCTGTGTATTTTTGGCAATAAACCCTGTAGCATAGCTCCTTACTTCTCCAGGACACTCTGGTGATCAGTTTCTCCACAACCGAGTTTAAGTACATTTTTGTTAAATGAGGTGCACATTTAAATATATGTAAGTGTGAGCAGTAACATACATCTAAGATTTTTTTCACATCAGATAGCTTATTTTTCAATTACTCCCAAAGTTTCAGTGGGCTATGGATTTTGTATTAACAACAGATATACAATTATATTTCATGAATTAGCTGAAAATCAGCATGAATATCTTACATGAAGTGAGACAAACCCCATGATTTGTAATAGAAATGTTAGCTATTCTAATATTCACCTCATCCAGACTGTGCTGAAATTCAGACATTACTATTAAACAGATATTTCTTTTAAGAAAAAAAAGGGATAGATAATTCTCTTCCTAACACGTGAGCAACAGTACAGGCAATTAAATATTTTTTAAAAGGACTCTTCATTCCACATACCCGTTTTTCCCACATTCCCCAGCCTGAAACCTGTCAAGACAGCAGATACTGCCACTGAGTATTTCTGAGCAGTTTTCATCACTACTAGTACAAAACACGAGGTCTCACATCTTTCTCACATCTCAAGGCCTTACCCTACACATTTCAGAAGATAAGGTAATAGGTTATAGTTTGCTTTTATGGATTAGAAGTTCTACCTGCACTAAGACTGGATTCCAAGGAATATTCTGCAGCCAGAGACTTGTGACCAAATAGAGATGTAAAACGTATACTGACTCTGCTCACAAAATTTTGCTGGAGTAATCAAAAAAACAGCTGTTGAAGACTTTCCACTGACCTAATTACTTACCTTTGTGTTTGTAACACACCCTTCACAACTCTCCCTTATTAGATTTTAGGATCTTGTGTTATCAGCTCTTTAACTGCTCCAGCAATTATCCTGTTCATAAGCATCTCTTTGAAATATGCTTGATATCGTTAATGCTACTTATTTGTAGGAATCACGGAATGGTTTAGGTTGGATAGGACCTTAAAGATCATCTAGTTCCAACCCCCTGAAGCATGTTCTTTTGCATTTTTTCATAAAATCTGCTCTTACTCATACAGAGAGACAAGAGAAGACAAATTATGTGGAATTCTGACATTCAAATGTAATCAAGATTGACGGGTCAGTATTATCATCTTTCTTCTTTATCCTCTTGGGCTACTTAGTACATCCCATTCCGGTTTTCAGATTCAGATCAAGTTCCTTTCAGAAACATACTGGCTCATTTTTTCTATAGGCATACATATTTTTTCCTATAGTACTTTTCACATAAGTACACCACCAATCAAAGATTAACTCTGATAAAAACAAACTGCACCTTTAAGAGTGAAAGGATGACTTGGGCTTCACCTACCTTCATATTTACATCTGCTCCGTTACAGACCAAAAGCTCTAAACACAATGCTCCATGTGTTGACACAGCAGCGAAGTGCAAAGGTGTAAAACCTTTCTCATTCATTTGATTTACATTAGCACCGCAGTCTATGAGTTCATTCACTACAACATCTTGCCCATTGTAGCAAGCTACATGGAGAGGAGTATTTCCATAGGCATTTGGTTCATTCATCTATCAGGGAAAAAAAACCCAACAAGATTAGTGAGTAGGCAAAACCCTGCATTACTGCAGCGTTTAATTATGACAAAGAAAAATCTCAGGTCATGAGACTACTTCTTCATTACATATTGGAACTCTTCAAACCCAGAAATTAAATGCAAGTTCTAGATGGAGTACTTGGATCAAGAAGTGTGTACTGGGGAAGAGTATGCTTGCTTTACAAGTGAGCCAACGTCCTCCAATTGTCCCCACACCAGTTTCCTGTATGCTACTTGGCAGAACACACATAAGGAAAAACTGTCAAGAGCGGCAGTTTGCACGGACACTACAGACTAAGCACTGCATGGACCCCTATCATTTTTTAACAGCATTTTCGTGTTTTTGCTCAAAACGCAGGTCAAGGGGACTAGGTCTGGGTCTCCCTAAAAAAAGTCGGAGGCATTTAAATTTAGAACTAGATGTAGCATGTGTATACACACACACCCCTGGACCATTCTATGCTACTGAGGACACATAGGTTCTGAGCCTGGAAGGAATTTCCGTTATGAACTACTTCTAAAATGCTATCACACACTTGGCTAATGAATTATAAGATGCGCCACCATTTAGGTATCCAAGCCAGAAAACGTCAAACAATCTCTAAACCAAACAAGACTCTGAAGTATACATTTCCTTTTTTTTTTTTTCTTCTTCCCCAGGCGGGTGAAGTAGAGAAGTACAAACTGTTGTTGTGAAAAACATGATACTGAATTCTGATCTACCTCTCAAGACAGAGCTTTGGCTAGCATTCTCCAGCTCTGTAAGACTAAAATGTGATGCACAATGTAGATTTCTTACACCGTTTCACAGTTCGTTATTCACACACTTTCTACCCACAGCTACTGTACAGCCTTTTAATTTATTTTGCATTTCAAAATGAATATGGTCTTCTTTGCTGTAATACTGATGTTTCTCACAATTCTTAGTATTTCCCAAAACTTATGTGGTAGTAAGAAAGTCAGCAACATCTATATTTTACAAATAACTGAAGCAAGAGCATTTAATTTCCTGCAGTTGTGTGGCAAAGCTAGGAACGGAACTCCTATTTCCTGAATTTCAGTCCAATGAACTAAGAGTAAGAAACATCAAGTGAACAAAAATCTACTAGGTACAAATTTATTTCCAAATAACTGTGCAAAATCTGCAATGATCCTAAGTTATTTAGAGGAGTAAGGTTTTATAACAAAAAAACCCCATGTGAATGAACACCTTTGGAAATACTATTTTCACTATATCACAATCTGCTCCTAAATAAAGTGTACTACAATACTAAGAAGAGCATTTCGAACATCAAAAAAGTATGTATCACTTTGTTTGGTTCTTCCTTACATCAACTCCAAGATCTAGAAGATATTTGACTACACTGATCATCCCACTAGATGCTGCAGCATGTAAGGGTGTATACGACTTCTTGTCTTTGCATGTCACTTCAGCTCCATTGGCCACAAGTAATTTCACAACTTCAATATGACCTAATAGAATAAAGACAGAAAGAATGAAGCTGCATTTTATGTTAACCAGTACAAGTTTACAAACTTAATAATCGTACATTTGTTATAACATGAACAAGACATTATTCATTCGAACCTAATCTGGAACATAAAGAATTGTTCTGGTGTTCTACTTGCATCATGAACTGTAAAAGCGACATAAAATACTCATCTCCAGAAGACAGTATTTCCACATACTCCCTCCAATAATCATATTTATACTGCAAAAATAATCTTGTATATAAAAAAAAAAACCCTTGCCTTCTGCTTACACATAAAGATTTTTTGGGAAGATTTGAGAACTAGAGAAATGAAATAACTTTATAATTATTAAAAGTTTACTGCGAATTTCTGTTAACAGCTTAAGAATGTAACTGTCAATCTTCCACCTTCACCTCAACTACAAACATGCCCGTTAAGGTTTTAAGGCCTTCAGAGTAAGCTTCGAAAAAACTGCACAAACATGAAAAGAAAATATTCTATTTTAAAATAAAAATATCTCTCCCCACCCCAATCCAACTGCCTTTACTTGCAAAGCCTTTAAAATGTTGATGCAAATCATACAGGATGTAGCAAAGCTCAGTTTTCAAAGCTGACTCAGGCCTCTGAGGAACGTACGTAGCCTTTTGAAAGCACTGACCATTCTCCTAAGTCTCTGGGAGGAGAGTAAGAGCTGAGTGGGACCGTGGGGAAGGAATGACATGGGGGAAGTTCCAGGTAAGAGGGTGGAAAAAGGAAGAGAAGGCAGGGGGCCCCCCTGAAGGAACAGGCAGTGGCTCTCACTGCCAGCTCTGTGACTGGCTCAGGGGCCCCAGCCAAAGGACAACCAGCTTTCCCTTTTACAGTGCCCACACGCTCCCCCACAGCTCGCATGCAGTGGTGACACTGCACGCCAAGAGAAAAGCTATGAAAATGAGGTAACCAAAAAACAAATCTGTCATTCTTGCTCAACTGTTGAATGCTGAACAAGTCAGTCACTGAAAACACAGATAATCACGACAAAGTGTCAGGATAAAGGAAAACACTTCAGTTAAACAGAGAGGATAGATTCAGTGCTTTACCTTTGTAACTGACCCACACAGAGATTGTTAGTTTTGCCTTTCAAGTGACACCCTTACCTCAGTTAAAAGTGGTGAGGGGCACATGGAACACACACGCTTACACAGCCAGACATACAAGTAAAAAGTATCAAATCCAGCCCTCAGTTTAAGCGCTTCATAAAAAGTGAGGTCTTTGCTTTTCCAATGACTGAGAGAATTTGCAGAAGTTTGAATAGGAAACGTCTACCCGAAGGATTACAGACAAAGCTGTTCCGATAAGCATTTTGAATTACTTCATGGTCATAGGAAAGAAGAGAAAGAGAAATGTAAACATGATACTCGTCTTCTGACCCAAATATAACGGGGACAAAAATGAAAGCATGCCTTATATGAATATGAGGCAGAAATACAGAAGATATTGAACAGAAGTACGGAAGATACTGAAAGCAGAGAAAGAATAGTGTCAGAAAAGCTTTAAAGAGAAGAAAAAAAAGCTAGAAAACCCCTGACCTGCATTGAAAACGCAAGCAGCAATCAGTGGAAGACACTCAAACAGAAGAGCAAGGTGCCCGGAGTGGGAAGCGCTGAGGAGACATCCCGATACACTATGGAGGGTGATGCTAACACACCCGACTGCAAGTCCATTTTAGTCGCAGCATTGCGGCTGGACAGCAATGGAGCCGGGTGAAAAGCAGGAAGGAAGGGAAACAATGGATTTAACCCTAGAAAGTTATTTATAGTAGACTGACGAAAGGCATAACTTCTTTTTCTGTGGTCAGTTTTACATGGTGGAAATACTTTAAGGTTTCTTTAAACAATTGAAGCAGCATTAAAATGGCTCTAAATTGTGAGAGAGAACGTTGCAGGGTTTTTTTTTCCTTGAAGACTTTTAGAAGCTTTTTCTACTCTATTGTCTGCAAGGAATTTAGGTTGACATCACAGACACAAAATTTTTCCCACCCCAACACTATTCATCAACAGAGTTTCCTGTCAATGGCCTATGAAATAGCAGTGACTAAAATTGGAATAAGTGCAGCATATCTGAAAAATAGGAGACTTTTCCCTCATCTAGGTGAGCACAGAATACATCTGTCTCTGCCAACGCATGCGCAAGCTTCATTCAAGAAAATTTTGCAAATAATCATCTGAGTAAGGAGGTTGGACATAGCCTGTAGCATATGTAAGTAGGTTACAAAATACTAGTACAAGATATCACAAAGAACTTTGGATGAATAAAGACTTCTTTAACTTCTCGGTTTCAAGTGCTGGTATCAGTACTGGAAGTGCAGTATCGGACAGCTTCAAATTATAAGTTAATAATCTAATGAGTATTAACGCTGTGAAGATCACTTCGTAAATCACTGGCACATTCAAGTCTTTTCCTCTGAAGACAGCTCAACAGGGTCCTGCTGTTCTTTTAAGCATTTCGCATATGGATTTCACAGCCTTATTTTGCACAGCTATGGGATTTTTCCAGATCTGTATTGTCAGGGACATAAGACTAACGTGACAGTGGCCTGAAACACAGAGTTGTGCAAAGACAACAGTTAGTAATTCCACTTTTGTGTGAATATAGGTGATTGCGATAAGATCAGTCTTGCAGCCACTGACATCTCACAAACAAGCCCAATTTTGTAAATGTACGGTTTTGTATTTCTAAAGGCCAGAATTCTCAGTCCTTGGATCGAAGCATCTTTCCTATAACAAACAACTCATTATCAACCCCCCAAACTCAGGCTAAGGTTTTTGGTGACTGTATTTAAATAGGTACTGCCCCATATGGTACTGCTCTTTTGTTTTGCTCAGCATGTCAGTTTAAAATTGTACTTCCACTTTCAAGTTACTGCTTCCATTTGCTCTGGTGTGGCAAGTCTGGGAAACATTGCTTGGATAAGATACTCAATGCCACAGAATCACAGATGAGAAATATGTTTAATTACGAATCTTCAGTCTGTTTTTAAGAACCACCCCCCATGCAGACACACTGCAAAGCATTGTGCCTATTTAAGTAATTCTCTCATTCACAATAATGAGTATTAATACCAAATTGTATATTAAGGAGCATTTTGCCCTAGATGACACCTTCAAGGCAGAGTAATCCAAGCCTTACAGATGTCAATGAGTGCAAGTAAGTTCCTAGTTTATGTGTGTTTATTTTTTGGTTTTATATCAGATACAGTAAAATCAGTTTGTTTTACTCAGGGAAGGGGCAGGATAGAAACCATTCTCCTTGTACATTAACTTAAAAGGTTTGTCAAAAATACAGGGTGCTCCTTTATAAACCTTATATATGAAGGTTTTCACCAAGACAGTCATTCCAAGCAGTATTTTCCTCTTACAACTGGAATAAAAATGTTCACATCCTTAGACCACCTCTGGAAAAACAGTTGCCATAAAGAATAGGCCCATGTTCTCTTCATGACTTCTCCTGAAGTTTCACAAGATGGTATGTTAGGCATATAGGTATGTATTTTCTAAAGAATTTAAAATTTAGGAAAATGCAGATCATAAAAACATAATAGAAAAAATAAATACATATAACGAAGTCTTATTTCCTCATTTCATCTTTGAAGAAATTCCCAGGCACACAGATTCGTACAATACTGGTGCTGCTGCTTTTATTCTTCTCCCATGGCTGGATAAAACGATGCAGCAGTAAGCTATAACACTGAATAGCAGTCAAGACCATGGATTCATCTCAACTGGCTTCTTCCTAAAATTAATACTGAAACTTAATCGTTCACTGCTCATAGACAACACACATCGCACGTGTTTCAGGACATGTTTTGAACACTGTCTGGAAGTTAAGAGGGATTATATTTTCTGGTTTCTGAACAGGTACAAAATACTCTGCAATGACAAATAGAATCAGCAGTTCCATGTGAATTACTCAGAAACACAGCAATTAGCCAAAGCTAAGAAGTCTTTGTCAGTGCCAACCTAGAACACTTAATCTGCATTTTCTATGATTCACCCTCCAATGTTTTATATTGTTCATATTTTAAATGAAGCTTGAGATACAAAGCTCGACTATTTATTATAGACATGCTAAAGAAAACAATTCCTACCCAGTGAACAAAATGAAAGTCTAATAAAGGCAGTGAAGTACAGGACTCTGACAGTACTGCCGCTGCATTGATCAATACCACGAGAACATAATTAACCACTCCTGGAGTAAGAATGGCAAGGTATGAATTTGGAGTTCTAGATATGAAATAGTCATCTTTTAAAACACAATCCCCAAGGTCGGTGTAACAATCCTCTGTTTCAAGTGCCTCTTGTTTTAATTGCTTACTTTGTACTTAGCATTAACTGCAAAAGTTTTCACCTGTGATCAGACTCCTGCTGATTGAGAAACATAGCTCCTGGTCTTTTAAAGAATAAAATACCTTACTTTTACATTCCAAACAAATTGATTTTCTTACTACAAAAACACATTTACAAGGCAATGTGAAGTATACTGTTAATGGTTTTCGGGCAGACACACTGATAACCTCAATGCTTATAATGTAAGTATTTTCCCTAGAAATATATAAAACCACTAAACATGAGGTGATTTGTTTATATACATACCCATATATGCTGCCCAATGTATAGCTCGTCTGTCTTTCTTGTCAAATGCATTAATATTGGCCCCTCTAGACAACAGTAAGCTGACCATCTGAGATAGACAGAAAGAAAAGAAATCCTCTGTTCATACTGGAAAACTCTGCTTAAAGTGAGACAAAGAAAATCATTGGAGAAAACAAAAATACATGTGTTTTCAAAGGATTCAAATGTGTTGTTTCTTGAATATTCCATAAGCTTGTAAAAACTGGCTGCCCTCCTTGGCAGCAATAATGAAATGACAAAACTCAATGTCAACAAAAACATTTCCAAGTTAAATATGGCAAATCTTTGAAATCTTCAGGCCATTGCTAAGGGATTCACTGAAGGGAATCACTAAAGGCAAGCCTACTGTCTATTTGTCTCCAATTACCCCTACACAGTTACAATGGGAATACCTCAGTGGTGATTTTTCACCTTGAAGACTAGCGAATTAGTGCTTCTTGAGTTTATTTCCTCCACACTTCAGTGACAACACATTCCATACGTTCACTGCCTACTGAAGAGAAAGTATCCTTTTCTTCCATTTCAAATGTATCTATTACTAGTTTAACTCCAGTTAACCCAGGCAAATTTGCTTCTGTCTTAAGAAAGGTGAACGCTGTAATAACCTTCCAAACAAATGATGTAACATATTTTTCACAACCATTCTGTATACAGATGCATACAAAAGACAAATTCAAATACAAAACAGGGGTTGGAGGTTTTTTTTGAGGGGATGGGGGAAACATGATTTTGAACTGAGAAACTAAACATCAGAAATGTGAGGGGCAGAACAACCAGCGGGCAACAAGCTGAGGAAACTAACTCACCTCAACGTGTCCACTGAAGGCTGCGTGATGCAACGCAGTTCTGCCTGCGCGGTCGGACACATTTACATTGCTTAGGAGAGGCACCAAAGCTTCAGCGCATTTCACAGCTTTGTTGGCAGCTGCTATATGTAGGGGCGTCTGCCAGTTTTTATCACGAGCATTGACGTCTGCTGAATGCTTTAACAACACCTGAACAGCATCCTGGAAGCATTTACAAAAAAAAAAACAAGCCACTTATTAAAGATGTGAAATGCCAGACTTAAATCCAAGGTCAGTATAATGGAATAGAACTATTTGCAATTGGTTCTTTTGTAAACACCACTCTGAGTGGTACTTTATCATAAACGCAGATTTGGGGATGTTTGAGAATACAATCAATGTATTTCCTACAGGATTCAACTGAATCAACCATTTCCAGGTCTTTTATCCAGTTCCTTAAGCCAGCTGGCAAATTGTTTTATCATCACAACTAAAGCTCAATAAACGTCCTTAGGATTTCTTCCATTGCTAAATATTATGAACATATAATGCATTTTCATCAATTTGCCAAGCAAGGTTTTTGAATTGTCAATGTCTAGACATGGCAAAGAAACAACAGCTTATTAAATGTACATTTAGAGAACAGATAGAGCATGGTCACAAGTTTCAACAGATACTGTTGCCTAACTCCTGAAAATAATTTCAAAATGCTGCACTGAATTCCATCTCACAAAAACATTATTCATTTCCTTTTGTTACATGTACAAGCCATGAAAATTTGACAAATAAGAGTATAATTCTTACATCAAGATAAACAAATCCCATTAAAGTATGTTCGCACAATCGGAATGCATTAAAGAAAAAAATCCGTTGGCGATATTAACATGATGATGAATACTGCATTTTACATCAATTCCCACAATTCACTAATTGCTTTCAGTGACTTCCAACTCAAACACTGAGCACACAAATAAACGGTTGGCACTTTGAACTTAAAACATGTTACCACAACTAGTTACTGGAAATTTTGAATTATATTGTGGTGAAATAGCTAGGTATTATTTTCAGCTACAAGCAGAAAATGCTAACTAACACTTGATTCTACTTATTACAATGAATTATATTTAAAATGTTCAAATTTCTTCTACTGTCAATAAAAAAAAAAATAGGAACAAACATAAAAGTGAAACTACTGGAACACAGGCTTGTAAGTTAAAGGAGAAATGGAATAGCTCTTCTATTCTCTAAGAAACTCAGCAGATTTAGTACTTTAGAAATGTAATCAATATTTTGAACTTTTGTCTTTTTCGAACCAAATATTAAGAAAAACTATAATCAGAAAAGGGAATTTTAGAACAGCTTTGTAGAAGGAAGCACCGTACCACTGGTATAAAAATAACATCTTATATTTTTACGCACATATACACTAATGAATTTCAAGAATTATTAATCTGTTTAGGGTTTGGTTTTTTTTTTTTTTTGCAAAGTACACCAGAAACACAGATCTGAAGGCCTGGAGCATGATCATCTTGACATGAAGTGGCTTTAACTTGTGCCGTTGACAGCTACATCCATAATTTCAGCTATATAGCAGGTTTCACTGTTCTTGTTTAATTGCAGCTGACTGTATTTCAAGAGCGAGTCCAGAAGTTTTATTGAAATAGTCATCAAGAGTTTTTTCATTACAGCTTTTCTTCATCTAATGCCTAAAACCCATGTATGACTGTCAGCTGGAAAAGAGAGCCTATGTGTATAAACTGCCTCTTGTGGGCTCCTCTGACTTACTGTGTTCATAAAGTTCTGCCAAGTGCCTATCACCTCTTGGGTGAATTGGTTTACCTGTGGGTTTTGTCTTTGGTTAGTATTTTGTTCAAAATATACCACATTTAAAAAAACGATCACAGTTGCATTTCTTGAAGTTATCGTTTAGGTCCAGTTTGCCTGCAGCACTCCTCTCTGCAAGCATTACTGATATTAGGAGCTTTTATTGTCCCTCAGCTCTGAAGAATACAGCATCTGGTGCTTTGGTCAGCTCCCAGAGGAGCAGCCTAAAAATACCTCCAGAAGAACAAATATCATTTGGGAATAAGGCACCCTCAGGCATTCATTTTCAAACACTGTTTTGAATAACACAATCTCCCCATAACTTTGCTATTAATGCTAGTGACAACATCATACAATTTATCCAGGGAATTCGAAAGCTGAAACAAGGCTTCTTTAGATAGTACGTGTATCAAATACTTGAAGCTCAATGCTTGCCAAAACCAAATCATTCAATTACCTCTTCTCCAACAAAAATCCACAAAGAATCTTTAAAAAAACATTATTTTCTGACACACACCAAAATGAGCACCCATCACTGACTCAGGATCTCCGAGATAGTTTTGCATAAACTCGGTTCTACAGAACAAGCTCAGCATTTGTTTGTTTTGATCTCCTACAGGCATTTAAAATTTTTACCAGGACATCAACTATAGAGGAACAATAACAAATTAATTTCTTACATTACTATACTCTCACAACTGTGTAACTGGTAGACTTCAAAAAAACTTTCCATATATTTCATTTATAACTTTTTAAGTGACTGTCAATACTATCATTATCCATTAATAGCTTAAAAAAAAAAAAGTTTGCAGAACCGTTTATCTCTTCAATGCCTGAACAAAAAAGTATGCAAAAAAATGAAGAAATGCAAAGATTATGGTGGACTGAGGTGTAAAAGCTGTACTAAATCTTAGTTCATCTCTACTGCTGTCATGCTGAACCATTCTGGTTACTTTTAGAGAAGTAAACTGGACTTGAGCACACTGTATGCAGAATCCCCTGCTAGGGAAATGGCAGAGAGCAAAGCTGAGATCCAGAAGTTTATAGTTTTCCCTATTTCTTCCTACTCAGGCACATATATATATAAATGCATACACACACATCCATAGGTTAAACTGTTGCAGAAATGTTCTGCAATTCCAAATGTTTGGAGTAGTTTCACTTTGTAAAAACCAAGCAAAGAACAGAAGGTAATTTGAGATGTCTTATTTTTAACACAAAGTGGTCAAAAAAAAAAAAACCCATCCAAAACACACCGTACCTCACTACAAGATGCCACAGCTCTGTGTAAAGGAGTCAACCATTTGCTGTCTTTGGCATTAACTCTAGCTCCTGTAACAAAACAAAACAAACCAGAAATTAACAATATATTTACAAAAAGACACAAATATTTTCAAGTACAGAGATAGAACTATTGGAAGACACTTGCCCTAGGCTCACTAATACAGCACGATGCCAAAAACGTTGGCTTTTCTCCAGGTCAAGCCCATCCTTTGAAGAAATTCTTTTAACACTGCAACTGTAATACTCTTCATCAAAAGTGTACTCATCTAGGTAATCCTCTGTAACCTTCTGCACTTCCAAAGGCTCACAGAAGACTGTTGGGTAAGAAAGACCAACACCTTGCCTTCATCCATCAACCGAAATCTCGTACTATGCCCCTGTAGTTGAAATTCTCCATTAAAATAGAGAAAGAGGCTACATTTATTCCCCATGCCTCCAGTTTCTTTGTGGTTGGTGAGTCTGATACAGAATGCTGCTGCTTCTGAATGAATTTTCCCTACTCCACCAGGTCACCTAGCCCACTTCAAGCCCTCCTGGGCCTCCCTTCACGAGCTAGGCTGTAACAAGCACACTTTTCTGCTCCTAAAAGCTTACCCGAAAGACAGCTGTCCCCACTCCCAGGAAAAAAGGTCGCACAAACGTCTGTAAGGGGGACAAGCCTGGGTTTGGATTTTAATTTTTTTCTTAATAATAAAAGGGAAGAAGGATTTGGGGATATTTTTTCCTTAAAGAAGCAACTGAACTACATTCTAACTTCCAGTGAATTTCAACAAACAAGAAAACAATGATTAAATGTAATGATTTAATTTCTTAATGACACATACACACATACATATGTATACATGCATATATGTGTGTATATACACACACACACATAACCACGTAAGTTTCTTTATACGCTGACTGGAAATTTATCCATCTTTATTTGAAAACTGCTGAGATTTTACAGAGATGTGATAGCTTAGACTGTTATGATTTTAAAAAATAGTTCAGAAATACTTTTGGAAAGAGTTCATAGAGCAATATATTGTATCACTCAGTAACGTTAATGCTAATGATCAGAGCTTAACAACTTCTCCGGCTGAATATAACACGTCAGAACCAACTTTAATTTTTCCTGTGCAAAGCATAAAAAACATTGGAAGGCCAGTAAGACACAAGACGTTATACAGGCTGCTGGTCAGGATACTCAGCTGAGAGGGTATTTTGATCAAAGTCTCACAGACCTGCACCAGCAAAGAAGACTCTCCCAGTCCAGCTGAACAACCTGACCAAGAAACTCAGTCTGTACAAAACTGCGTTGTATACACTAAGCAAACCAAATATTTTAAGTCAATTCTCCGAGTTAATCAGTTTCCAGTTAATCCACCCCTTTCAGGCTTAAGAACACAAGGTGAAAGCTGATGCTGGATCCAAATTCCCACTCTGACCCTAGCTCTTCCAAGGGCCAGACCGAGCCTGAGGTCTAATTGCTGGCTACAGTTTCAGGGATTTCTCTTTTTGCTACCCAAATTTCAGAAGCTTTGGGTGCCTTCCTATTTTCCAAGGTCAAAATTTTTGAAAAAATAGATTTGTAAGAATAGGAAGAAAGTCCAAGCCCATTTGAAGACAAACCCCCACAGACTAACAAAAGTTTAGAGACTTACTCTTACCATAAATATCTGCTTTTGTCAACAATCATAAGGACCTACTGTAGTGCACCACATCATGTACCGTAACATAACGTACTGTATCAAATTCTGCACAGAACTTGAGCAAAAAAAGAATTTGAGGATTCTAAGAGTCACCAGAAATGTCTTGGGATTTTTTGTAATCATTCCCAAAAGACAATAAGCTGAATGATCAGTAAGTGAGAATGTAATCAATATACTTCAAATTTATCTGTAATTCTCAATTGTCTTACAAATTATTGTTAGCCACACCTTGTTTTTAGCAGACAAGACAAAAATAAGAGCCAAAATGGTACTCCAAACTCCATCTGACTTCACATCTACAGCCAACAACCATGAAATGAACACTTTCAAAGTCTAACTGATTCCTATTTCTAATTTTAGGATGCAAATGTTTTTGAAGTGTTTTAAAGGAACTAAGGGAGTTGCTAGGCTACTAATCGCCATGCTGACTTTCCTCAGGAAAATGCGTTTGCAAGATCTGAGGTCAGGTCAGGCCCACCCAGGTGATGAAGCCTGAGACAGAAGGCCCATGCCCAGCAGAAGGGGAGAAATGCACATTTCCACTCCGAGGAAGCGGCAGTTACCTAAGCTTTAGCGAAAACATGCTTAGAGTCCAATCTGTGTTTATGGGCTCAGCTAAATTGTTCCCTGACATTTCTGGCCCTTCAACACACAGCCTAGCAATCGCATCTGAAGTGCGACAGAAGAGGCCTAAGGAATTTTGAAGCAACACCAGAAGTAACATAGTCCTTTCAAAAGAACAAAATCAACACAACAGTATCAGCCCCCCACTCGATAACTGATATTCCACCCAAAAAAGCCCAGGTCTAGTATATCCCACAGTTAAATTAGTGTAATAGGTAGACACTAAAATAAGTTGATTTTTCAAATGCACAAAAAATCTGTAGATTCTCTGTCAGAGGAAAAAAACTAAGTTGACTTTTGAAAGGAGATCTAAATACCTGATGGACTTAAAGAACCACCAAGCTTGTTTCTCCTCCTCCCAACAAACAATTCTTAGTGGAGATCCAAAATCGTTAAGATTGAAAGACAAAATTTTGAAGTAATAATAAGTGTGTTTCCAAAAAAACACATAGGAACTTTTACTGTGGGAATCGGGAGATCTACAGCTCTACACAGGTTAAATGAAATAGTATTTAGAATAAACATAGAGGTACTTCCCCTTATACTTCTCCAAGAAGACATACTGCAAAGAACGATATAAATTTCATAAAACAGCTTCTCTGTTAGAACAGCCTTGAATCTGAGGGCATAATCTCTCTCTAGGCTGTTCTTTACTCCCAAAGCATATGATTTGGGAAAAATGTTACTGTCCCTCCCCCATCAGATGCTCTCCATGAGACATAAAGCTCCCTCAAACCTATCATACTACCATGCAACACTGAGGAAGTTTACAGCCTTCACCCGATGGGCTAAAGCTCTACTCTGAATCACTGCAAATAAATGCTAGAAAATACATTACACCTTTACAGAATGTGTTTTGCTCAAGGATGATTTGCTTCACGGTTTGCCTAGAGACAGTTCGAACACACGTAGGTGTGCAATTCACTGCGCAGCACTGCCCATGGAACACTATCTCTGTGAACCTCAACCTGCTGACATGTTAACCAGGGCATTTCTCACATTTCAAATGCCAGTTAAGCAGTAATTTGCTGCTTCAAAACACGGTGCAGCGTATCTCAATCCTCAATTTGTTTTTAAAAAAAAAAAAAAAAAAAAGCAACCCAAAAAAACCTCCCACCACACTGGATCTTCCAGACTTCAGGGGCCTGGTCTTAACAAGTTTAATAAAACCGCTCAAATATTTGTTTAATGTAAAATTTCTTGTATTTCAATTCTCTTAATGCCATAGAGCTTGCAGGAAGAGATTTTGGGAGCTTTCCAGAGCTATCAAATACAACACTGCAACACAAATACCCATCATCTTTGCTTGAGCTTAATTAAGAACTGATTATGTAAATGGCACTCCCTTAAAACTGCACCTTCCAAACAAACCAACTTATTCTTCCATGTTGGTGCACTAAACCAAAATATTAAATAAGATCTACTCTTTCATCACCGACTTTGCTACTACATAGTGAGTAAGCTTACACATCTAGGCAAATAGGAAAGCAGGACTTTTGCTCTGGAAAGAAAAAAAGGGGGTGGGGTGGGTAGGTGGGTGTAAAGCAATATTCCATACTTTTCTTATTCCCTTCCTGAATATTAAATTTCATTTTGCAAAGTTGCATTCACAACTGACAATTATAAAGACATCTTTTACAGTAAGTGAAGTACAGAAGCTACTGAAAAAATGAAGCTTACTTTTAGCAAATTTATGTTTCAAGAGACATATTTTCCAGCTTGATACATGTGCTGATTTACAGAGTGATCCTGGAAGCCTAAATTGTATCTGTCCACATTTGGCAATTACACATTTAAATGTGCTATTAGTCACCAATTTCTGGAAGTATGTTTCTGCAATCCAGTTGCTGTTTCACTGGTGTCGATATCCTTACGTTTGAGTAAAAGCATCTCCACCATCTCCTGAAGAGATGGGTGATGAATGAGCGGGTGGGAAACGCTGCAATGAACAGCCACACGCCTCCTCCCTCACCCATAAAGTGCCAGATAACTATATATAGCCGTGTCTCAGCACATCAACCTCTGTGTTCCTCCCAGAAGGGCTTCTGCTGTGACTTTCTTCCCGACCTACCCTGTCCCAGAACTCTTCCTATTTGCAAATGTCCCCAGAAGACTAATGAATGCAGCAGCTACATTACTAGCTGGAAATAGATTCTGAAAAGAAATACAACAAAACTGACACAATATTTTCATCTCCCATCACAGTACTGACTTAGGTACTGAATTACCTTCCACTGTTCTGTTCGTAGTCTGTATTTTTAGACTGTCAAGGGTGGTATTTTCCTTGGTATTGTACAAGGTGTGCTCGTGATTGAACAGTATCATAGTATAAACATACAAAACAAAAGTGTTTTCATTCACATATGCAATACAGACACATGATGTTCAGTATCTGAAGTTCTGAAATGTTTGCATGTGTTACTCCTCAATAAATAAGGTCTTCAGACTGCCTCTACAAAAGCTAACAAGCTTTGTCTTAACAACTAGTATACTGAAATAATTTTAGGAATGATCTTTACAGAAATTAGGAAGATCCCACGTATAAAACACTGAGAATCACAGCAGTCCTACTGTAATTACACTCTATTTAATTATTTTCCCAAGGGCTAGTATTAGCTTCAGAAGTTTTTCCTTTTTAAATGATGAATTTTTCATCTGGAGAAGATGACTGTGGCACACAGAAATTCTCTGACTACGCTGGGGTTTGAACAGATGGAGAAAAAACTTTTCTTTAGATAGAAAAATACATGAAAGTTCAGGAGGAGATGCAGAAAAAGTTTGTAAAGTAAAAGATTTCAGATATGAATCGGAGCAACCAGTAATAGAGATCTAGTGTAATTTCCTATGGAAAACCTGAATACTTGGAAAATCATTGCTACAAAAATAATGAGTAAGACCTTACTGAGAGAAAGGTTCTTCCCATTTCTACGACAAATGTGTAGTAAAGGATCTATAGAAGAGTGAAAACAAAAAACCTGAGAGGGACAAAGACTGGAATAGCTTTTGACCAGCCACAACGATGCTTCAACAACAGTTTTTATTTTTATTGTTTTAAAAAGAAATCACCACCACAACCAAAAAAATGCATGGAGCTATGCTGGCCATAAAAGGGAGGAAAACCACAATCAAGTCAAAGCCACCCTCCAGAACTTTGCTGCCTTGACAATATAAGAAATTAATTTCCTTACAGAGCTTCTGCCGCATCTCAGCTGCCACCTCCCTGGCTTCAGAGAGAGCTACATGAGGTTCTTGGGTCCTCGAGCTACCAAAGGCTTCTACCTTTTCCTAAGTCAGCTTCGGTTTCTCTCTCAGAGGGCATCAGAGCTACTTGCTTCACAGCAACTGCGCATTACTGCTGCCAGAGGGAAGTTAACACAGCTCGGAAAAGCAAACGATGGCCAACATGACTGTCAACAAAAAAGGGGATGCAGCCGAAAGATACAGCTAGTGCAAAAGGAGCCCCCACAAAACGCCTTTGGCATGTGGGTACACCTGCAGTACAAAGGGAGTTTCATGCGACTGGTATTTTTTGCAGCGACAGCCTTTTAACAGCTGAGCTGCGAGATTGTCACTGCACAGATTTAACACTTGCATAGCTTCAGGGTTAGATGAAAGAAACACAGGTAGTGAGTGTGGAGTAACATTGGAGGGTCTTTACTATCCTCCAAAATCCGCTATTACTGTAACGATGGTTTTCCAGCGTCAGCATGATTCTTACATTTTCCAGCTGAGCCAGAGGAAAGCACAACAAAAACTCGTGGGCTGCCAAACCTTAATGAGATTGAGTTTGACCACACACTCATGAATGCTGAGCTCCACCCAATGAAAATTTTGGGTTAAACAAACAGAGAAATGTCTTGTGTTGGTATTTAAGCATCAATGCAATGTAGTAACTAAATCTCTTCAAAAAAAACCAACAGATAATTCAGATGTTTATTTTCATGAATTATGTTGATTTCAGTGAAAGCAGCAATAGTCTGCATGGTATTTTAAAGAAAACACATGAAAAATCTACTAATCAAAAGAACACATTCTGGGACCACACTGATCTGTCCTGCTCCTCCCACGTCACTTGTCTGCAGAACAGACTCTGATGGCATTTTAAAAAGGCATAGGACAAACAGAAAGAATGATTTTTTTATAAAGCAAGAAGCCTTCCCAGAACAGTTCGCATGCAGGACATAACTGAATTAAGAATTTGGGTGGTTTTGTTTTGGTTTTTTTTTTTAATCAGGACTTACTGGAAAGAAAAGGAAAAAAAAAACATGCTAGACAATCAGTTAATTCAGACTTAGTTGTTTTACTTTTCTGCTTCTCAGTAGTTTGTCATCAAGTATTCAGACATTTAAAGTCAATGCAATTATGCAAAGTAGGCAGATGTATTTGTGCACCAGGATGCAGAGTTGTACATACATCGTAAAAACACAACTGTTATGGGTGTTACGACCCTTCAGAGAATAATACAAAGAAAATGCTTCTAAAATTACGATTGTGAAGTGATTGATGGAACAAGAGATTATATTTTATTCTGTATACTGTAACATAGCATAACATATACATATATAAAGAAACATTTTTATGCCTCTTTTATTTACTGTTCACTTCCATACCTAACAAATTTAGGAATGCCAATTGCTTATCTAGATATAGTGTAATGGGGAGAGAGAATCTGAGTATTTAGACTTCCACAGACCCCAGTGGTATGAGAACTTGCTGGCAAGAAGATTGCATCCTCAGTTTATTAGTGAGTTCTGTGAAGCCCTGTCTCAAGATAAAAAACCAAATGTCAGTCTAAGTGTCCAGCCCCAAACTGGAGTCACTGAAGCAAGTTTCTTTATTATTCAGAGTGTGTCCAAACCGTCACCTCCAGGTCCCCTGCCCAGGTGACAGACTACAATAGGAGAGGTCACAGAGCAACCTTGAGGTTAGGTGGGAAAATATCTCAAGAATTCAAAACCAAAATAATTATGCTTGCAAGACTGAAAACATTCCACAGAAGTCTGCAAATAGGCTCAATCGGCTGTATCTCCAGAATGCGCAATATGGATTGCTTAGGTCTGTAGCAAAGTAATATAAAGATATGGCAACAGCAACATATGATCCAAAATACAAACTTGAAAGCAACATGGATCCCCTGGTAGGGGATGCAAAAGAAGTTCCAATCAAATTTGAAAAAACTGTGTCCAGGTACTTTAACTAAGAATAGAGAATAATGAGAAAGAATGAGGTAAGAGCCACTGAGCAGTGGAAAGATTAATATTGACATCAGTAATTTTGAGATCCAGTCTGAAGAAAGAATAAGAAAGTCAAAGCAAACAGTCCTCATCGGATAGCTTGCACAGCAGGAAAACTGTAAAGCGGTTCCTAGTAACATTCCAGCAAAATTACATTAGAGGACATTACAAGTTGCAAAGTCAAGCTCTCACAAGGTGAGAAATGCTAGGATGAACGCTATTTAATTCAATCCCTTCTGCAAATATATTACAACAGGTCAATTAAAGCCACCTACAATGTTTTCACATTCAAGTTTACTGCATGGAGGAGACTGTTGTTCAGTAACTGTATTTATTTAACAAACTACTTTCTCATTCTTCAAAAAGAGGTCTTGCAACACGGCAAGTGTTCTTCAAACCTCGCTGTGGGAACAGATGTTCTTTATTTGCTCCCTAATGCTCATCTATTATGACAAAATGTAACATTATACATCTCTCTCAAAGGAGAGATTTGATCTCCAGCTGAAACACAATAGATGAATTTTCCGTATCTTTATGGAATGGAGAGGATAAATACACTTAACCTCTGCCCCCCGTCTCCCTTGGCTTGTGCATTTTCAGACACCTAGAACTGATTTCTCAGAGAAGTAGCCGGTGCAGCACTTCAGATACAGCCGTAAGTGCTCACACTTGCCAAACCACAAAGACTTCAAATCCAGCATTCAGAAATGCAGAAGACTAGATTGGTGACTACTTTAAAGAGTCTGGTTTAAGCTGCTTGCCTAAAGTCACTGCTTGCAAGCAGGTAACACACAGATCAGTGCCCGAGCACAAGAACAGCCTTTGAAACCGAACAGTCTTAACACGCAGGCATCACTTTGGCATCTTGCAATTAATGCGTCTCCTCATTCGCTGGCAAATGCATCAACAAGGGGGATCTGTGCCTCCTTCACTGTACCACCTGGGTTCATTCCCAGCACAGCCCCTCCCTGCGAGATTCCAGAGGCTGTGCTTCTGCAACATACCACATGAGCACAGCAACGTTTGCTGTTGCCTATACACTCCACAGCTTCCAAAGCCTTTGAGTTCACAACTATTTAGTGAGTTGTTTTGGGGAAATAAATCCTGATTTTAATTAAATAAATTTAATCCGAGACATACCGATGTCTCCCAGTCTTCCTGAACAATCTGCTGCCACAGCAGCACCCCACAACTTCTCTTCTGCACAACAGCTCAACTTTGGACTATTCGTACAGCCCTAAATTCTTAGTTCTTTACTTCCTCCTCTGTTCTCCAATCTTTCTTAGACTGATCCCCAGGCTACATGCCCAAACGGCGTGACTAACCTTTCTTCCCACGCTGCCACCCCCCAAGCCTGGATCTCGTTTCGTAACATCTGACCTAGAACCTTGCTCCTTCCATAAGCCCTTTGCCTGAAAGAGAGGGATTTCCCTCAATCCCAGTTCTGGTAACTGGACTCTGCTCACCCCAGTCAGAAGCTTCACTCCCACAAGTAGCTGACTGCACCTTTGCAAAGTTTGTAACACGGTTAGTTGGTTTGGGTTTTTGCTTAATCACTGTGGGAACCCAAACAAAAAGAAATATCCTTGCCAAATCCAAGACCCATTTTCAGAATAAAGAGGTCATTATGTATTTTCAAGAGTCACCAGCACTTTTTCTCTTCAT